GGGGCAGACTTTAGCCAAGGCCGTCATTGACTTGGGGCCCAAGGAGGCCTGCACGGGGCTTACTTTCGTCTGTCTCAGTAGGGCGAAGAGACTTGTGGACCTCATGGTAGAGCCCATGAGTTTCGACAGGATTGGTAACCTTGGAAATTCGCCGACGATGAAGGCTAGGCTGCAGGAAGAGGTTAGACTTGGGGAGTTAGCACAGAGTACGAGGGTCAAGTACACGGACATGGGCGTCTTCAGCGCCGTCGCGGGTAACCAATGACGTGAATTGCAAAGAGAAAAAGAAGAAGAAAGGGTCTCTTCCACCTCCCGCGGACGCACACGTCTGACGACAGTTACATCTATCAGCTGTCGCTCGTTTTAGCGACAGCTACTATATCTTTTGATTCTTTAGATCTAGGCCGCTGTGGTGCCAGCATTTATTTCAAAATGCTGCTCTCGTGCGCCTAGGGACGCTTTTCGCAGGCTTCGCGCCTTTCTGGGGAGCTTTTCGCTCCGTTTTTCTTGCTCAACGCGCCCCTTCTCATAGCAACAAATATCCGCGCGCTGCGCCGTGTCGGCGAGGTGTTGCGCAGTCGCTAGGGTGAACTGAGTGGTACATCTCCGTGATCTCCCACCAACTTGTCAGCTCTTTCCGCTGCGCGACGCGCAGAGCCACATAGCTGGCCACAACCACAGAGAGAGCGTTTTGTAAATATAACGTCTGCATAACAGAATGGAGTTGTCAATTCAATCAGTTAATATTTTGGCGGCAATTTTGCCGAGCGGACGTTGTTGACGACAACAAGCAGTACCTCAGTGCGTCGCTCTCCATGGTCCAAGGTATCTTCATGCTGTATGCATGATCGGTTTGTGTGACGTTAAAGGTTTGTTGTAGTCATGGCGCTCTCTTTCTTATTTATTTATCTTTTGTCACATACACTGGGGGCTACGGTATAAGAGAGCTCAGTTTAAGAAAATATTTGCCGATTTAAGAGAGGTCAAAATTGCTAGATACACCCCTCTCTTAAACCGAAACCCGAATCTCTTAAACCTCTCCTGAAGCTCTCTAAAACCGAACCTGCCTCCCGACCCCCACTCGCTATATATAGCCCACCAGCTGCCCCCCACTGCACCAGCTCAAGCAGCTGTACAGCACAAGGTCATCATAGATAGCTAGCGAGACACACAGCTCCCACGGATGCCTTTCGCCGCGGGTTCCCGCTGCCTGGCAACGCCGGACCATACACCCGGCCCCCCACTGTTTACGAACCACCCATGCCGTGTCTGCGGAGGCGACCTTCATGGACTGTGCGGTGTGCATGACCCGCTTGGCGACAACGAGATGCACCGTGTTTGCCACGGATGTGTCAACTCGAGCAACCGCAAGGAATGAAGCACAGACTCAACTGCTGGCGCTGCATCTTCGAAGCGCCCCTGCCCGGACGGGCGGGCAACGGGTAAGGAGAAGCGAGCGGGTGCACTGGGCAGTTTGAAACCCGTTGGCAACACCGCACGTAGGAAAGTTCGTGGTGCCGAAAACCGCAAACGACCGACGCTCGAAGACAAGGTTCGGGCGCTCGACCTTTTGAAGAGCATGAGTGAAGAAAAACAACAACAAGTGTGGCATAGGTACGCTGTATCATGCCGTGCGGTACATGCTGTAGGATGAAACGATATACAGCAGAGCAGTAACAACAGTGCACACACTACAGCTGCTAAATCCGTGAATAATATATGTCCTCTGTTCTTCTCCAGGTGGAGCAAGCAGTCATGGAAATGTTGGTGCAGGCGAGGGCACTGAGAATGCCTGCCAACCGGGACGCGATCCAGGCATTCGGGCGCAAAGCTCGTCGTGCTTTCGAGAACGCAGCATCTACGGACGCCGAGCGTGTGCAGTACAGCGGCTTCAACGCGTCCGAGGGGTGGGTAAAGAAGTTTGTCAAGCGCAGCAACCTGCACTCCCGTACACTTCACGGCGAAGCAGGCAGCATCGACGACGAAGCCATCGCCGATCGCCTCAGAGTAATCCGCGAGACGTGCGCTCAGTATGCCCCAGAATGCATCTTCAACGCCGACGAAACCGGGCTGTGCTACTACAGGATCATGCCCAAGGCTACATGCCTCGCACCATCAGAGCTCAAGAAGACCGCGCGAGGCGTGAAAGGAATGAGAGCGAAGGATCGAGTCACCGCCTACATGGCTACGAGCGCCAGCGGGCGTAGGTGCCGCTGTCTTTTATCGGCACAGCCAAGGAGCCCCGGTGCTTCAAGATCCAGGGCTCACCCATCAAGTACTTCAGCCAGAAGAACGCGTGGTCGGGCGCGCGAGTGTTCAAGCTGTGGTGGTTTCCTGCCACACGTGCGCTCGTCACCAGCGAGAAGGTTCTTCTCATCATCATGAACAACCACAGCAGCCACGCCGACCTCATAGACCCCAAGGAGCAGGTGAAGATTCTTGAGTTGCCACCCAACTGCACGAGCAAGCACCAGCCCATGGATGCCGGGATTATCGCAGCCTGGCAAGTGCGGTACAGGACGAAGCTACTGGGGATTCGCGTCGACACAATGACGTCGGCGGCGCAGCTACGGGAGAAGGCGAAGGAACGCAAGGTGATTCGGGGCTGCATGGGGGTCGCGGAAGGAGCGCAGCCTCACATCCTGAACGCAGCTGAGCTAGGCCTCGAGGCGTGGAAGGAAGTTTTGCCGGAGACAATCAAGAAGTGTGTCCGTGTGGTGGTGTTCACGATATTATTCAATAACTGCTGTATAATTTCCCCCCTCTGGACACATCAGGTTTTATCAGAATATTGCACGTTGACGAAATTGTCAACTGACGCCATCATCTTGCAAGTTTTGTTTGAATTGAAAAATGAAACAATGCTCTCTTTTCGTTCGGCTCGTTCTGTTTTTTTCTTTTCTCGCCGTGCACGTTTCTCTCTCCTTCCCGCGTACTTCTAGACTATTCATTGTTTCCAAGGTGCTGGAGGAAATGTGACATCCTTCCTCCTGCGGTGCACGCGGACCTCGACCAGGACGTGGGAAAGAATATCCGCAACAAGAAGGAGAGTCTCGAAAAGTTGACGGACTTGGTGCAGCGTCTTTCTCTTGAGGCGAAGAAGACAACTGTCGATGAAGACCTTGGCGAGGCGCTGAAGGATCTGGGGTTGGCACCTGGCGCAACGCCAACCCGGGCTTCCATGGAAGCTGTGCAGACATGGTTGCGTGTAGAGGAAAAAGAGGGTGTATAGCGGAGGCGATTATTGCAGACCTGAGGGACGATCTTTGTGAGGAGTCGATTGCCCACCTGAACATAGACTCGCCGGACGACGACGAGGCCGACTCTTCGGCGGGAGACGAGGGACAGTGTATGCAGCCCCTGGTCTCTCCTCGTCCGCCACCGTACGCTGACGTATCTAGGCAGTTCGGAGACCTCGAAGAAATAACAGAGAGGTACAGCATGGCCGGGGTAGTTTACCATCTTCGCAAGGCGAAGTTCGCCTGGATGAGCGAGGCTGGGTCAAAGAAAATGAAGCAAACATGCATGGTAGACTTCATGTAAAGTTGCAGAAGCTGCCCACAGGCGATGTTCATGGACGTCTGTTTTTTTTTTTTTAAGGGTAGGGTGTACTACTTGTACTGCTGTAGGTGCTGGAGTCACTGGTCTTGAGTGTTTTGTGTGTGAAGCTCACGTCTCTGTGGTCTGTTGGCAGCTATCCTATGGTATGCACTGCTGTTTGTCGAGATGAGGTCGGAGTACACCTTGGAGACCACGTAATAGTTACATCGGTTATGCTTCGTACACAACAAAAAAAAAGGAGGAGGGATCACGCTGTACCGCACGAAAATATTGTGAAAAACAAAAAAAATACTTTTCATTACTTCCATCATGGTATTAAGACCCTTTTAAAAGACATACAATCGGTTTAGGGGAGGTTTTCTCTTAAACCGATTGTACGGTACAAGAGAAAACCTCTCCTCTCTCAAACCGAACGTACGGTTCAAGAGAAAACCTCTCTTTAACCTTACTAAGAGAAGGTCGTGTTTAAGAGAGGTCTTCAGGTTGATGCACACCCCTCTCTCAAACCGTAGCCCCCACTGCTGTATGTGGCTAAGGAAAAAGCAGAAAACAAGCGGTGGATCTCAGCGAAAAAATACAAAAGTCGGCCCGATCTCGGAAAATACGGTTACATGCTCGCGCGCGCGCACGCTGTGGTCATGCACGTCACTGCTCTAGGTGATCAGTTCCACTGAGCGCGTTAAGACTTCTACGGAAGCAAATAACTATCTACGCGGCTGTTATCTGTTGCTGATGTTTGTGATGTTGTTGTTGCACGTATGATATTGTTGCACGTATAGTCTAGTTGCCTCCATAGTCGAGAAAATAAAGCAAAAAAAATGCGGCGAAATTCATCAGCTCAGAGCGTAGTGTGTGTAGCGCTGGGTGCCCATAGAGTAGGTTGCACACAGTTCGCCGGAGCGTTGTGTGTATACAAGGCGCGGAAGTTGGTGGTGTTAGTGGTGAGAAGGAGCTGCAGTGGGAAGGTTCAGAGAATTCAGCACCTCAGAATACAATCAGTTAGTCTATATCACAGCCAATGCGGCAGACAGCATCAGCTGCTATGCTCATCATCACTCCTCACCATCCACATTTATCGACTTCAACAGCGGCGCGTGCAATGCGTCCCTACTTCCACCATAACTGTCACAACCTTCACATGCCTTCGCCCTTGGTATTATGTCTCCACATCAACCTTATTGACATCATCGCCACCCTTCTCCGGAGGACGAAGGGGGGTTGAGGCCCCCCCGGTCCGGGCCCCTTGTACAGCGGCCACTATCAGACGCTGCGGTCGATACACCACCGACTGCTCCTTCGAGTTATCGGGTACAAGTGCAAGAAAGACACCTACCGGCAGCTTTCTTACGCCCAGACGCTCAAGAGGGTCGAATGCCAGAGCGTTGAAGCCACGATCGGACAACGACGCTCACTGTTCGCGGGAGCATTGGCAAGGCAGCCGGACGGGCGACTCCCGAAACGACTGATTGATGTTCGGCGAACTGGCAGGGGGGGAGAAGAGACGTAGGGGGGGACAGGAACACAACTGGCCGAGGTATGTGCTCGATGACCTGAAGGCATTCGGGGCCGACCATGGATCTACGAAAACCGATCCATGTTGTCTCGGAATCCCGGTACCGAAAGGCATGGCACCGATGTTAAAGTGGACGCAAGCCGCGAAGGTAGAGGTGGGAGTACCCTGGCATGCGGTGGTGCTGCGGGGAGCTGAAAGGTTCATGACCTCCTGGCACGAGAAGGAAGAAGAGGCCAGCCGACAACGGGCGCTCAAACGAAACCACAAGCCACCAACCAATGGGGCGGGAGGTGGGCAGGAGACGGACGAGACGGCGAGGGAAGTAATCTAACGAGAAGAGACGGACCNNNNATCGCTGGTTGGTGGCCATGTTTGCGTGTTTGCTTGTCGTTAGTGGTCTCTCCACCGTGTGCCTTTTTCTGTCTCTTATTTCTTGTTATTTTCGGCCTGGTCCCTTTTTGTCCTCGCTCTTTTTCAGTTCATTTTCTCTTTCCCTTTGATTTTCTTCTCTTTTTCTGTGCCAGATGGCCTTGTTTCTGCTTGCGTTGTGAAGCACCAAGATTGAACCAAGGGGGTCTACCTCATTCTCTCCTGCCCGTGATGGTGACCCCTAGTCTCAGTTGTTACCTCGCATAGCACGCAGAGGGAGTGGAGGACTCAAGAATATCTGGCGTTGATTTCTATTGACTTGCGGACTCCTTGGGGTCATGTTATTTGAGTGTACCTTTTTAGGGTAAGTTAGCCTGCGAGCACGGGAATCGACCGCGTCGAGTGTTGTATCAGTACGGACATACGAAGGTACTGGGTGGAGAGAGATCGGAACGGTTTTTAATGTGAAGACAACAACAACAACAACAACAACAACAACAATAGTCAAATCCTTGATCGCACATTTGCCCCTTCGTGCCGTACGCCGCGTGTGACATGCAAATAGGTTGACAGTCCACGTTTCGAAATATTTCAGACCTAAAATTTATTCCATATTCGCATCCCTCTCAGGTTCCGATTATTGAAGGTCTTCGGTGGTCGATAAGAAGAAACAAAGACTTAAGACCAGCATTCAAAGGCGCTTGCTTCTGGGGCCACAGCTTCTTCGCGATCTAGCAAAGAAACTGGCGGATTTTCATCACGCATGGTGAAATTTGGGAGCACTGCACACACGTTCGCTCTGGAAGCAAAGGAGGGCTGCCCATGGCCACATTCTACTTCAAAGCGGCCGTCGCACACAAGTTTCACGATAGTAGTCGGCGTTCTTGAGGGCTGCCTGAGTCTGCAGAAAGACCATGCGGTCCAAGGGGTTCGTGTTGAACAACATATCAATATCTCAATTCCTGTCGCCACCCATGTCAGCCGCTTTCAATCGTGCAATAAACAACCGCAAAAAATCCAAATCCACAAGCAACAACCCAGCGTGCAAAACGTGCAACCAGGGCTTGCCTCCGCCCGACAGAAACATCTGGTCACCACGCACTCCCATTAAGGTACCGCATTCTATGACAAGCCACAACATCAGCAGTAGTAGGACTGGCGGACTCCCGCCAAGGCCGGGGACTCCGAACGACAAGGAACAACCAAAGGAGTGCAAGCGCGGACGTCCATAGTGTGAGACCGCTCATGAAAGTGAAACAGTCAACCTGCGCCGACAGCTTTCGGTGTCTATTGGTCAACGCCCTACTGCTGAAAGCTAGTCCTTCCTCGATAAGGAGGATGGGCTGGTCGCCCTCTCGCCTGGGCACACCCAGAACTATACATTGATAATCACACAAAAGACAATCACACACATTGTACACCATATATATCTCTCCCAACCTCTGCGAGGCATGATATTGCCGCAAGCAGAAGACAGCAACATGGATTTCGTTGTCAGGAACAAGGGAGGGCGCTGTTAAACTATCGTCAAATCACACCCGAACAACTCTACATCGCATCACTCGTACGTGAACGGGTCGAGCTGTCCCCATGGCTGGTCTGGCTTAACGATGCACCAGCTGCCGATAGGTGGCACCGTGAGCTTAAACTTTTTGCGGGCCGGCTGAAACCCTCCTCGACGAGCTGTACCCGCCGGAGGGTCGTTTTCTCCGGCCAATTCGGGGTTGGCGGGGCTGCTCATGAACAGCCTTGGAGTCAGAGCGATCCTCTTCTTGGCGTTGAGGGCGAGGTCGCACCCGCCGCTATCGAATGGTCTCCACGTGACCTCGTACGGAACGGCGCTCCTTGGATGCACCTGGCGGAGAGAAAGACGGGCTGCCGTTACGTCATGTGTGGACACTGGACTTTTTCATGCTTCACATAGTGCGCTAGTCGAACTGAAAGGAACACATCGTTGAAGAGGGAGTTCACGGATTGCATGGCGCAGCGATTTTGGCGCATATGCCGCCAGGACACAGGGCAATCGGAGATTGAGGTTCCCAAACTCATGAATATGGGAGAAGCTTCGGGTGGTGCACCACCTACACCAATGCACCGGCAAAACATAGCGGACCGCCACGATCCGTGAGGGAATGGTCTACGATCAAGTTCGCATGTTCGGCACGAAGAATGCATCGTATCGGCTTGGTTTGCCGTGAGAGCAATGGGAATGAAAAACAGACGCCCAAAACCAACTAGGCCGGCGACCTCAACCGACGTCAAGGCGGGTACCCAGCCTATCGCACAGACGGCCATGTTTCGTTCACACAAATCGTACAAGATTTGGACGATGGGTGCGAAAGTTAAGAATTCAACACAACGGAGGGAGGGAAAAAAATTCAGTCACGCCAGCGATTGTCACGAGACGGCGCAACAGCACAACTTAGAGATAGGTGAAGAACACTCGGCATGGCTGTGCTAAGTCAATTGTGAGTCGAAAACAAAAAAGGACCAACAGCACCGATTGAACCGAAGCTCGCCACATGACCGTATTGTACGGAGTGGTTTCCCCAAACGGTGGCGAACGTGAAATACCACAAGTGTTTTTCGCTGGTGGCAACACTCGAAAGTAGAGTGAAACGATTGAAGCACGCGACCTCGCCGCTGTCACCAATCAGCAGCTAACACTTCACTGTCCTCAAAATACGCGACAGAAGGAGTGTAGGGTACGAGACACGCCAGTGGTACGAGGATGATGGTGTGGTTAGAAGCTTGTTGATATCAATCATGAGCTGGAGACAGAGATTGGCCAAATGATTGCGGGAATGAAGCCTTGTAGAACGAAAGCTAGGTCAGAAGCTTAACATGACCACGTCCTGTCAGCAAAGCGTGGGAATACCTCAAAACGGTTGGCCTCAAACGACGCCCAGGTTGTTGAAAAAATGATATCCGTTCAGCGGGTCTACCGTATGTGTTGTGTTTGAAGCTGGGCATACTTCCATTTTCCAGCTTGGCGGACAGCGCGCGCCAGCACACTCCAACATTGTCAAGGACTCATGAACCCAACGGCATGTTGCCGAAAGCGCCGTCCACGGAGTGACAGAGGCCGCCAAAAAGCAATCCAATCAAAGCGGTGGGATATTTACAGGATACTTTGAGGAGCAGAACTTTCTATATATATTTGCATATGAAGCCTTTCCAAACCCGGCACCACTCGCGTTACACTGGTGGTTTGAAGAGACCGACACGGGCGTGCAAGGAACGTGTAACGTGGCACATGACGCACCTTCGTAACCACCGCGCATTCCACCCACGCCTCCCTGGTGTCGCTAAACTTGATCCAGAACACTGCGAGTTGAGCAGGGCGACAGTGTAAGGGTGCAGTAGACCGGGGAAGGCGCATGCGAGCAAGCGCAGAGGTTTCTTCCGAGATCTTAATACAAAAAGCAAGATGTCATGCAATAAGCAACACTACCACCAACCAGCCTCATAAGCTACACGCACCTGTCCCTTCCTTTATCGATGCCACGGCCTCTGTCCCTTTCTTGGTGTTCGCCAGGTACTCCTCCACCGAGTGAGCAGGGCCAGGAGACTCGGACTGCCCCCTGCGCGGCTTTGACCGGGGCGGTGGTGGGGCGGAAAAGTCTCGCCGTTTGGTCTTTCTCTTTCCGCCGCCACCTCTGCCCTTAGCTGTGACTGAAGAACTAGCGTTGGCAGCAGAAGCAGGAATTGGCCCCATTGAGATCTGTTTCCCGCCCCCTGGTCCTCTTCGAAGGCCTGCGTCGACATTGTCGCTGGCTTGAGAGTTTGCGCCAGTGGCGGCCTCTGCAGCTTGATCACCCCCGGCAAGCGAGGAGGAGCTCACACTGGAGAAAGGAGTGGCGTCAGCACCTTGAGTGTCGGTGGTTGCAGCAGTTTGAGTGTCGCTGCCAGAAGGGACACCATTGGTTCCGCCCGCCGCCGCCATTCGTGCACCAATCTCCACACGCTCCAGAGGCGGCAGCATTTCTTGAGACGAAGCAGCTGTCACCACACCTACGTCAGCAGCCTTCGCGGCGGCGTTGGGAGTATCGATCCCAGACGCGACGGCCTTCATCCCCGATGCTGTCGTCGTCTTCGCACGTTTCTTGGCAGGTTTACAACATGAGGGTGATTCTTCAGAGGGGGCAGCAGCCGCCACGGCCACCACCATGCCAGGAGGCGTAGGGACGGGACTTTGTGTCTCGTTGCCGGGGGTGCTGTTCTTCGTCACGGGAGCCCCCGTGGCTGCCTCCGCACGTTTCGTGTTGGGCTCCAAAGGGTGCAAGATATCCGTAGACGAAGCACTTCTTCCCGCGTCCACCGCACCTGGTTGGGTCTGTTCGCCGGAAGAGCTGTTCGCGACCACCTCTACCGCCGCCGTCGTCTTCACAATTTCTTGCGTAGATTCTGAAACACTCGGACTTTCTCCACATGAAGCAGTGGCTGCACAAGTCGGCGTCGATACTGTGGATGCGCCCGTGGTATTCACATTCGTCGCCGTGCGGGGAGCGATGGTGTCAACCCCTCCCGCCGCTGTCGTCGCCTTCGCTCTTGCTGTTGGGGGCTTTGATGAAGAAGGCGTTTCTGCTGAGAAAGCCGCCGAGGACCTGGCAGCCGTGCCAGAAATGGCATCAGCATGTCGAGTCTCGTCGCCAGGAGCGATGCGCTCGCCCACCTTCGCCGTGGTTGCCTTGTTCGTGCTTGCTTTTGCAGGTTCTGGCTCCGACGAAGAAGATGGCGATCCTGTGAAGAAAACGGTGGCCGAAGCTGTGCCTGTAACGGCAGATGTGCTTGTCGCATCAACATGAGTTTTACCACCTGGAGCGACGTACTCGTCGCCTCCCGCAACCACCGCCGCCACCGCCGCCGTCTGCGTAGACGTCGTCGCAGGTTCTGACGAAGAACTCTTTCCTGCGGACGTGCCGGTGGCATTTGTATTGGTGTCACAGTGACGACCGATGCGTTCGCTCCCTTCCGCAGCTGCAGTCGTCTTGGAACACCTCGTTGCAGGCTCTGACGGACGCATTTCTACAGAAAAAACTGTGGCCGACGTCGCAGACGAACCAGGAGACACGGCGTCAGCACTTTGAATGTCGCCGTCAGAAGAGATACTCTCGGCCAAATCTGCCGCCGACGTTGATGCTGCAGCTGTCTTCGCTCGCTCCGGAGGAGACGGCACTCCTTTCGGCAATGCCATGGACGCCGCTTCCGCCGCACCAGCAGACGTGGCATTCGCATCGTGAGCCTGACTACAATCAGCAATGAACGCACCCCCTCCCACCGGCGCAGTCGTGTGGTCAACGTGCTTGGCGGGCTCTGCAGGAGATGGTTTTACCATACCCAAATCTGTGGCATCCACCGCGGCCATAGCAGGAGACACGGGGTCAGCACGCGGAACGTTCTCGGCAGGAGCAAACGTCGATGCTGCCATTACTTCCGCCGGCTCTGGGGGAGACGGCCCTCCTTTCGATAGTGCCATGGCCGCCGTTTCCGTCGTACTAAGAGGCGTGGCGCTAGCATCGTGAGCCTGACTATCAGCAGTAGCGAACTCGCCCTCTCTCACAGGTTCCGTCGTCTGGTCGACATGCTCGGCAGGTTCTGCACGACATGATGTTTTCTCCCGCATAGCAGTGCCTATCACCGCAACCGTACCAGGAGACGTGGCGTCAGCATGTTCAGTCCCGCCAACAGAAGCGACACTCACGGTCAACCCCGTCGTCGTCGTGGACTCTGCAACTCTCTCGGTAGGTTCTGAGGGAGACTGCGATTCTTCCGATGGTGCCTCGGCTGTCGCTCCCGCCGTATCAAGAGACGTTGTGCCAGCACCACCCTGACTGCCAGCACCGGTCCTCTTGCTCCGGTCAAAGGGCGTCACTATCTTGTCAATGTGCTTTGCAGTCTCTGAAGATCCGTTCTCACGCGGAGCAGTTGCCCGCACTGCGGCCGTACCAACAGACATGGAGCCAGCACCCTGATTCTCGACGCCAGGTGCGACGCTCTCCGTCAACCCCCCCGGTAGGGTCGACTCTGCGCTCCTTTCGGCGGGTTCTGAGGGAGAAATCGATTCTTCCGATGGAGCCGTCCCCGCTGCTTTTATCTTAGCAAGAGACGTGGCCACAGCAGCTTGAGTCTGATTGCCAGCAGCCATGATCTCGGCCCCGGCCGCCGCCACCGTAATCTTAGTGCTGTTTTGAGCGGGCTCTGCCGAAGAAAGCGGTCCTGCGGGCAAAACTGTGGTGGGTGCTACAGCCTGACTAGGAGAGATTGGATTGACACGATCAGTCTTGCCGCCAGATGCGCTGCTCGCCGTCAATCCCACCGCCAGTGGCCAAGCTAATCTTATCTCCCCAGGTTCTAATGGTGACTTCGGTTCTTCCGACAGAGCCGTTGTCGCCGCTTCCGTCTTGCCAAGAGAGAAGGCGCCAACAGCCTGAGTCTGACTGCGAGCAGCGATGGTCTCCGCCCCTCCCGCCGGCGTCATGGGTTCGCCCGTGTGTGTTGCAGGTTCTGAAGGGGATGCTGTTTTCTCTGCCAAAACAGTTGCCGCAGCTGGGGTCACAGGTGACGTGGCGCTGTCTGCACCATCATGTGGAGATGGTTGAACCAGGCCGCGAGTTGGGGGGTCGTGCACCGTCGGTGAAGCCGCAGAAACTGTTGACGTCGGTCGTACCCTCGTCTCCGAGGCGGCTACGACGGTCGAGGAAACATTATCTCCAGATAAGCTCACACTCATGGGGCAAGCGCCTTGAACCGCTAGCAACGATGGTGCTACGCCTTGTTTCGTAGGTGCAGCTCCAGCTGCTGCTATTCTCGGCGGTTTCGCGTCCGTAAGTGGCGAGGTTGAACATGCCTGTGAAGAACCTTTAGCCGCCGGCTGGGTCGGGAGAGTGGTGCCTGTTGCTTCCGTCTTCGCTGTTCCTGAAGACGACGGCATTAGCACCGGTGAGGTCGGACATGCCAGCGGACAAGTGTCAGTCACTGCCGAAGCTGGAGCAATGCCTGCTGCCGCGGCTGTTTTCGGTTCTTCCGATGACGTGCCCACATCCGAAGATGGACCCGCGGGGAAAGCGGCTTCCGCTGCTGGAGTGCCCGCGCTTGGATCTGCTTCAGCCGCTGGTGCTCCTGAGGTCACGTCCAAAACGGTGGAATTCCCACCCTGCACCGCAACGCCTTGCACCACGTGTGGGGCTTGGGGTTCAACGTTTGTTGCTGGTGGTGCTGTAAACCCTCTTCTACCCGAGGCCTTCCTTGGAATACCTGAGCTCTCATCTGACGCGAGCATACCGTGGGACAACGGCAGAGCAGGGGGTGTGTCGTTTCGCGCTGCCTCTGATTCCGCCGATGCCACTGTTGACGAAGGTGACGCCGTCTCTACAACTGGCGTTGCCGTCGCTGGCGGGGGACGACCATGAGAAGCATGCAGGGGTGCCGTCGATGATTTGCTCCCTGCTGCTGCCCCTGCTGAAGCGTTGTCAAGAGTTGTCGAAGCCGGCACCGGAGAAGAACTACTCTGCGTAATGGGCGCGGCCGTCACGTCAGTTATCGGCGGTGCCGTCCCGGTCGCTGCCGTTGCTGCCACTGCCGCTCCCGAGTCTAGAAGTGCTGGCCCCAGATCTCCGACGGGAGCGTGCGCCGGTGGGAGAGCGGTAGGTTGCACGTCTGTTGCTCTTGGTAACGCTGGCCCCCCTCCAGCTGAAGTATGGTCTCCATCTTTCGAACGCAGAACTACGGGTGGGAGATCTTGCGCCAGCATCGAGTTTGGCGGCTTACCTCCCAGCGCTGCCGCTGGTGCAGCAATACCTGCTCCTGAAACCGAGTCACCACTGGCTGTCCCCGGATCCGGCCGGGAAGGGCTTAGCATGTGGAGGACTGCGGAGTCACCGCTCGGGGCGCCCAGTACAGGTGCTGAGGCGGTGTTCACAGACGCCGGAGTCATACCAAGGGTAGGAAAAACTTGCGTCACTGTTGGGTCGGTAGAGGTGGTTTTTGGGCTCGTCGCAGCAGCAGCGGCCACAGGCGTTCCCAGCGTTTTCGCAGACGACGCCGCTAGCGATATTGCTCCTGTCTGCGCCGGCCGCTCTTGGACGCTCTTCGATCTGTCGAGCAATCTTAACGAACATGGGATAACAAGAAGCGAGCGGCAGACCTTGGAATCTTCAGAAAAAAAATGAATCCACAATGACAAAAGCCGGGGCAGTTCAAGGGACCCCATCATGCTAGCGAGGAAAGTTGCTTGCGCATTGTGGAGGTACATCACATCGATGACATCGTACGCCTGTTGCAAGGACAAGTTGCAAAACACCCCTAGGGGCCAACCAAGCTCCGGCTTACACCGTTTTGGACATACGCTGGACGGGCTCCAAGAAACTCACGATTTCCGCTTGTGGGATTGTGTTAGCTCTCCGCTTGCAGGCGCGGAAGCGGCTGCAAGCTTTCGCTTAGGCGCCGCCACTCTGGGCGAACCACTCGGCTTGGTTTTTCCTTCTTCGTGTGCAGCCGCCACTGGGTCAGGTGCTGATGCAGATGCTGCTGCCCCACCGATCGGATGGGCTGCGGCCACCGGCTCCGGTCTCCCTCCTCCGGCGTTCGTGGTCTTGCTCTCCGCTACTGTCGTCAAATGTTTCATAAAGAAGAGTTGTTGACGGAAGAAGAATAAATCCTCGCAGTTAGACTTCGATACTACAAATTGTTTTGGTCAAAAAGGTGCCCGTGGTCGGTAGCCCAACAGACTAGAGCCAGTTCAATGTAACCAATCAACGCTCTCTACAACAGGTGGCTACGTCACCGAAACGCGGAAAAAAACTTTGCCAACGACACCAAAGCGTACAACGTGCACTGCACACAACACACACAGCCAGACCACCAGGAAAGGTCATGTACACTACACTGGGGGATCAGGCGAAGTATAGCCCATTAGCTGGAGCAGCAGCGCAAGCATATGTATGCATTCACAGCCGCAGCAAGACCGAAATACATGCGTGTGAAAGCGGAGGAAAAACACACGAAAAGAAATCTTGCCATCAGAGGTAGTTCCAGGCGCTGTTCCCATCCGTTCTGCCGTCGCTCATAAGCTGCCACAAGCGATTCTGAGCAAATGTACCACTAGCCCTGCACATTGATTCTTGGAAACTATCAACTGCTTGCCCGCGACGAATTGGTCCCGATATGTGCGTGAGCGTGTTTTCGGAAAAGCTATAAGTTGGAGCCTGGCGCCAGTTCGTCAGCCAAATCAGACCCAAACCTCTTGCTTCCACCAAAACAGGCTTACGCACATATCGGGGCCAATTCATGGAGGACGAGCAAGGTGATTGCTTCCGATAATCAGTGTGTGCAAGGTTAGCGGCGCATGTGCTCAGGATCGCCCGTGGCAGCTTGTGGACGGCGGGAGAAGGGTGAAACCAAGCTTGAATATGACGTGTGAAATCGGCACCCTTGTTTTGTAGATTCTAAACATGCGTCATTTGTCCCCGTTTCGAAGCAGCGAATGTCGACACCGCTTGGCGGCGGCTGCCGTTTTCAGGTGTCTGAGCGTGCATAGTCGATGCCCTCGACAGCTTTCGTGCGCATGTCCAATCGTGTCTCCGGTGCGCTCCCAAAAGGCGCCTTCAACCAACGAAATCTTGAAAAAGCATGCTCTCTGATATTTTTCCGCCATGATTTTTTTGTGATCATTTCCACAAACTTGTGCCAATGAGAGTCCAAACGGGAGGACGCGCCTTTCAACAGCAACATCTTGGAATGGGATGCGGTTTTTTGTGCTGTGTGCGCAGAAACCAAAGGAAGCGATCATCAGAACCAAATTTTTGAGTTCATGGGAGAAACATCTAGCACCGGACAAAGACCCACAAAAACACTACAAGTATAAAAAAACGTATGTTGTCGGTCCTTGAGATGACGGAAGAAACATGCGGTCCTGGTGATCCCTCGAAAATGGCCTGTAGACAGGTGTCGCAGAGTGAGTACAAAGAGTCAACCCTTCGCCTGGCGCCAGAACTCGGTTACCCCGTTTTCTGGTCTACATCAAAGTAAATAAAAATTCGCCACCGAGTCATCAAAACAATTTTTTGCGCTGGTCGTTCAACCGTGTTATCTTGGTCGCTAGCAGTGTAATCTCGAGGTCTAACAGTAATACGGGGTAATTAACGACTACGATTTAGAGCGCTCATCGATCACACACGAGACACATACGACCGGCTAGGAAGCGCTCCGCAGAAGAAAGTCCTCCAGTTGTAGCACGGAGTAGCGGCTGCGAAATATCTTTGGCAGCAAATCACGTAGTTTACCTCCCTGCACCTTCGCCACACTCAAGCCAGAAAATTCCACCGATCAAATCAAACACAACACAGGCGACACTGTGGGCGCTTTCAGCAAGTTCTTTGCATCAGAGAGTGAATGTCCCATGGGTAATCAGCAAAGGACTCCACGGAGAAGCCAGCTGTTTCTTGGCACGCCCATGTTTGTTGCTGGGGGGTCGAAGGACCCAGTCGCATCTGGGCCAAAATGCCAACCTCGGGGTAAATACCATTCACAATCCACGCTATACGTGCTATCACAGACCCAGTCCCTCAAACTGGTCGCCATTCCAGGCGGCCGGTGGCGGCAACTACTGCTGGATACCCGCACTTGAGGAGATTTGGGCCGGTGACAGTGAGCACAGCAGTGGATAGTGGTAGGACCAAGATTTTCGCACTTTCGGGCAGCAGCAGCGGCCGTCTATAGCACGCCGCCGGCAACAGATCTGGGCGTGCCGACTCGCGGGTCGCTGTTCCATTTTGTCCTCTGCTGAGTTCCCACATCGAATATCCGCACTCTCTGAGCCGCACGATCATGCCAATTGTTGTTGTTTCTCACATTAGCCCTATTGTCCACAAAAAATGGGGAGCCCGTGGTCTCAAAACCCGGCACATACGACGCCGCGGGGAGACGAAACAACAATAGGGTACAAACTACCCGGAAAAAGAAAACAAAATGACAGAAAGAAAATAACAGGTACAGCACCGACCGTTCGAGAAAAGAGCCCTTGGAAACCGATAAAAAAAAAAAAACTAAAGGAGGACGCTTCCCACACCCGCCTTAAAAAAAATCTAAGGGCAACGTACCAGCACCAGGCACTACGCACCAGGGCATGGGAGTAACGGAGAATACAGGACAAAGAAGTGGCAGATGGGCAGACAGCCAGATGTACAACAAACAAAAGCAGCAGCAAAAGCGAGATCAAGGTACCCAACACAGCAGAGTAAGCAGGGAGGACATGAAAAAAAAAGGAAAAAAGAAACACAGCACAGAGGCCGAAGGCAATACAAAGGACATACACAAAGGAGTATGTATAGCATACAGCAGGGACGGAAACAGGGCGCAATCACATCAGCCGGGTACATCGTTCGCCACAAGTGCTGCCTCGGCCGCCCTACTCGCTTCTACAGCAGTTCCCGGTCGCCGTTTCGTCCCCGCCACCGCCGCTTCCCCGGCTCTCTTTCTCTTCGGTCCTGAGACGGCCATACTCCCTGCTTCTGCTTCCCTCGCGCGCTGGCGCTTCGCGGACGCTTCCGCCTCCTGCCTGTGCCATTTCCTCACGAACCATGCCGGCCCGTCCTCGACCTTGTTGTACCACACCTCCGGGTCCTTGGCGCTCTCTTTCCATTTCCCCCCTTCCTTTTCGTCTCCCATGTTGAAGGCCACGAGGTCCTCTCCTAGACGAGACACCCAGTCGCTCTCCTGCCCGCCCGGGTATCCCACGCCCCCCGCTATCGCTCCTAACAGCATGCGCTTGGGGAGGCGGTTGTCCTCCATGCGCATAACGAAGCCCGCGAAACACAGTCTCCGTTTGCGCACGGTGGCCTCGATGGTTTCCTCGCAGCCTGCCTGGATGAGGGCCTGGGCATAGGACAGGGGGCGGTCTGAGCGTTTCTGCTTGTTCCAGCCGATGCACCGTGTAAGTAACTGGCGATGGGTCCCATTGAGCTTCGTGTAGTGCTCCGCTGTTAGGCTCCACGAGGCGCACCCATATAGGAGAGTCTCCACCACTTCAGCCTGGAGTAGCCGGATCTTGAGCTGGCGGTCGGCCCGTCGCCTGTCGTACATCGAAGCACTGTTCCGGCGGTAGCACTTCCACGCTCGGCAGGTGCGGCTCGTGATCTCCCGGTCGGCCTTCCCTTCGCGGTAGATGTACTGATGATAATGGTGGCGCGGCAAGCGCTAACAAAAATATTCTCTTCGTCCAAATGTAGATACATGCAGATTCTTCAATGAACACAACGTAACACAGCAGTGGTGAGTGCATTTTTCACCTACTGCCTGACCTCTGCAATCTATCTATCTATATTGAACTTTGCCTTGGAATCGCTCAATTTGGGCGGTGGCGCGAAAGCACCAAGAGCCTTGTACTCCTACGAATATTGTGCGCGTCCGCGGCGGAGTCCAAAACAGTTCAACGGCAGAGCGGGGGGCGGGTCTATCGCCTCAACACGACGCAGGGAATACGGCGCCGACGCTTGGAAGTGATAAGTGAAAATACACCTACCCGGGGGCGGTGAGGATGGCATTCTTGCGGAACACGACAATGCAACGGGTTTGCAAGATGTGCCGCACTCAGCCACATCACAGCGCGGGGTCGGCTACAATCAAGCGCGAAACGCAAGTCACGGCGCGGGATCGGCTATATCAGACTCGAACATAGATTCGGATGCGCGTGGCCTTGGGTGGGCTTTGTAGTGTCGCTGATTGCAAATACTTGAAATACTTAGTTCGATCGACAAGGCTTCCTATTTGAAGGCCTGCCTGTATCTCGCGATAAAACTCAACCCTGTCCGCACTTCCAATAGCAACAAGGCCAAAACAGAATGTTAGACAAGCGAAGTACGCAACCACAATAACACATGGTGGTCTGCTCTAGTTGCTACCGAATTTTCTGTCATCACACATAAATGGCTACTCCCCTCTACAGAATGGGAACTCAGGTGATACGATGAAAGCAAACCGTCAGGGGACGAGATCCAGGCCGCGTCAAAAGCTCTCGGATAAACCAGAACTGGCGACCAAGGCAATAGCACGCCCACTTAGGCGGGGGTAACCGCGCACAACCGGCGTACTCCGTGAGAGGGCACATTTCCAACTCAGGGCCCCGCCTGCTGCTGTTGAAGGCACATCCTGGACTGACTGAAATTGTACATACGTTGCGCTCCTACAAACACGGCCCTCTGTTTCTGACACCCGCACGCAGATAGACTACTGCAGAGTATTGAGTCGTCACCCTTGGCTCATTAGCCCCCCCTATAACAACAGCTCAAACGATCGGGGGGATGTGAACGAGCATTCCGCGGCATTTACGTTGATGCTCAGCATGGCCCTTGTGTGGGACACTCAATTTGACGCAAACCTTCCTCATGTGCCGAAATGTTCTGTGGCTTTGTGGTGCAGTGACGAAACGTTGATTCCAATTTGTCCTCGCACATGGGAGACCAACAAATCGACGACTTGATGACGAAATGGAAACGGCGCGATGGTCGCTCAGACCCACCAAAATTGCATCATGTGAGGCAGCTAAAACATGTTGGAAAGAAAGGAGAGAGAGACAGAGAGGACGAGTCTGTAGAGAAACCAACACATGTGTACCCTGGCCGCTACAGCTCCAGTATATACACGTTTCCCACCGGAATCTCTCCGGAAAAACTCGATTTACTCTCGTTTTGAGGATCGTTCTCTAGATTGGGAACATTTTTGGGCGCGCAAATATCTCAGGGCATTTCAAACAGGGTTGATTGAGAATGCCAACAAAGTACATCTTCCACCACAACACACGGCCGGAAACAAGACATGAACCGTCTCGTTGAACCTATAGGCAAGAACTGGCCAAAACTCAGGTCAGCAAAAGAATAAGGTCAAACCCACACGTGTTGCCGCCTTTGGGAAAATTGTCATATATGTGAACAGTTATACATTTGTGTTGGCTGGTCGTTAGCAGTGGAGGCTGTTTGGGTGTTCTTTTCCCTTCTGTTTCCTGGAGGCTGTTCGACTTGGAGAGTCTTTTATGTTCTTTGAAGTAGCTGTTACATTCTTTTCTTTCTTTCTAGCGAAGCGGTAGCGGGGAGAACAGCGAAGAACACCTTGCTTGGTCACAGGTATCCGTGTTACAGCAGTTTCGACCAACACCCACGTCTGTACTCCGTGGTTGCGCACGCTGGAGGAACGCAACAAACACGCCCGCCCGCGAGAGACGTCTTAACCGCTTAGTCAAGCGGGTGGGCCATTCAAGTACTGTAGCAATCCAAGAGGTGAGACGCCGTTGTGGCTCGAAGCGCGGCTGATTGATGGTGCGAGGTGAGCTGTCTGTCGGTCGGTCCCATTTGCCCTCTCTTCAACTCCGAACAACACCGCCGCCTGTTAATGGTTTTATCTTTTCTTCTGCTTTCCCGACTCCCACGTCTGTGCCGCTGTGCTGCTGCTGCTGTTTTGTTCTGCTGCTCGGGTCTTGGCTGCTCATATAGCATTATTACACCTTCTCCCTGGCTCTCATCCTTGGTGAGGCACAGGCAAACAAACGCTGTGTTACATACTGTAGCTAACAAGCCCACGACCCGCAGCAGCACAGCTTGCACAAAGTCGGACCGTGGGACCGAATATGTTGTATGAACGTCGGACAAAGAGTGACGGCAAAATAGTTCTGCACCCAGGTCGCTGCGGACGTGAGTTCGTTCGTCTTTTTGAGTTTTGTCCCCCTCCATCATCTCCCTTCTTCCCCTTGCTCCTCGACAAGCTTTTGCTTAGACATGGGTTGCAGCGAAGGGGGGGGTCTTTCTGGCGAGCAGGGCTAGACTCACCCTCAAGGGATGACCGAAACCTTCTTGCTGCTGCGCATCCGCCGCGAGGCGTGCGTGTGGTGGTGGAGTTGGGTCGGCACTGATGGGGTCAGGCGGGAAAATGTAGATGCNTACGGACGGAGCAGGTCGAGTGGCGTTATGCTCGGGCTGACTACAGCGGCGCCGGACGGAGCAGCGGCACCGGAGCATGCGGGCGACATCGACCCGTGGCGCACGCACAAACATTTCTGTGTTTTCAATTTTTTTCGTTTTTTTTCTGACTTTCCGTGTTGGTTTTGTGTGATG